TTTTTTTTTTTGTTCTTACGTACCAAGTAGCATGCTTGTACATTTCGTTCTGAAAATCAGTGGTTTCATTCGGTTATTGAGACAGACAGTCTCTCTGCAACCCACTCGTTCATTCCGATGAAAATTTGATATATCAGGAAGTCAAAGTCACTCTCAGCTTTCTTCTAAGTAACCCTCAAAGGACGCAACTGCCATAAATCACGTTATGGTGAAATGAGGCACGCAAATGTTACCATGCGCAATGCGATAAAAAGGAAGAAAACAAATAATGCGACCAAATAACTGAACAGGAGTGGGAAACATAGTGAAAGCTTTTACCTGATGGAATATTGAAAATGATAGACATAGAAATTACAAGACACACATTTAGTAGGCATACCCAGCTTATAACGAACAACTTTTTGTCAGACCTGCGCGAAGGAGGGAGCTGAAAAGTGAAAACGCCTTGTTTTTGCGAATGCATAAAAATTCATTTTCAGGAAAAGCGAAGCAGAGCTAAGGGAAAACTGATCCTTTTGTGAGGGAACGATTTCACCATGTGCTTCAAATGAATAGAGTAACGAGGGATTTAAATATGTGCATTCTGCCCACGCTATCCACTCACACCAGTCACTGCAAGAACGAAAAAAATAATTGGCCAACGCACGGGCTGCCCGTGCGAAGATGCGTTTTTTGCGTGGTTTTCCGTAGTTTGTGTTGCTACCGGCACCGGTTTTTTCGGCAAATGCTTCTAGCTAAACAAATTAAGACTGGCTACCAGAGCTGTCAGAAAACATTCCCTTTAAAATTTCAACTTTCTAGCCTCCCTGACACCTGAGTTAGCAACTTACTGGAACAAAATTTTGCACGGGCCCGTGCACGTTTACCAAGCATACCTGAGAGCTGGGTTCGAGCTGAATGAAACTTAGGTGGACGGGGTATATCATCTTAAAATTGCTTCCATTATTTTTCTCAGGTACTTGAGTTATCAATTTACACGAAAAAAAATTTGGAGGGCCCGTATGTGGGTACCATGCTTACCCGAGGGCTGGTTTTGAGCCCACTAATACCCA